AGGGAAAGAAGTCATTCCGTGCCCTTGGGTGATCTCTCTCGTGCTTTCCCTCGCCCTCTCCCTCCACGTTCTCCTTCCTCGTGAACATCGTTTCGATTGTTTTTTTAGTGAAATTTATGTGCTGCTATGCTTTATGGTTTGTTTTATGGATCGATCCGTGACGAATGTTTGTCTTTCTCACTTTTTTGCAATATTCGATTGATGCTGTAAAATAGGGAGAACTTTTGCTGGGTTATTTAGAATGCATTGGATTATTTTGGAATGCATTAGACATTGATGTGATCTGTGTTGCTGCACACATTCAATATTTTTTTTCTTGCTGACAATATATTTTTTTGCTGACGATCTGTGTCATGCAATTGTGTCCTGAAAGAACAATGGTGTCTTGCAACACAGATCAGTTAGATTCACCTTTGTAGAAAACGAAAAACATTTAGGTGAATTAGCCATGCAAAGGTGTTTCTTTGAAGGAGGCCCTTCATCTAAAAACACATTTGAGTGATTGGCAAAATGCTAAAATTCTCAAACTATTTCTTTTCAAACATCTCATCCTTTAAAGTGATGCTAAATTTCTTTTCAAACTTCTCAAACTGTTTCTTTGAAGGAAGATCTGTTCAATATTATTGGGAATCAGAATTGTTACTTCTGATTTAAATGTTCAAGTAGTTGTTCCTCGGGTGATAGGCAGAATGCTAAACATTTATGTGAAGTGCTGTTTTTTAAAACTATATGGGGAAGAGTATTCAGCAGTTAAATTGGTATTTCGGATTCAATATTTGTTTTCCCTGGCTTGCTGGGATTGTTGGAATTGTTATATATGACATTTACAATGGTATTTTATGCAGGCAATGAATTCTGGAAGGTTTCAATTTGTTGTTCTTAAAACTATACGAGGAATATGTCTTTTGCTTTCCTCTGCTTGCTGGGTTTGTTGGGTTTCAATTTACAAATGGATGTTTCAAAATATTGGGAAGAGTATTCAATGCAAAATTTATCTCTATTATAACACGGTGAATATTATTGTATGCTTAGTTAAGACATTTACAATGGAATTTTCTCCTAACCTAGGGTTCAACATAGCTCTGAATTGTTGAAAATTTTCAAATTGCTGTTTTTTTAAATTATTGGGGAATATGTCTTTTGCTTTCCTCTGTTTGCTAGGATTGTTGGGGCTTGTACTTCTTTTTCAAATGTCTGATTCTTAAGAAGAGGGAGAGTATTGAAAGCACAATTTATCTCTATCATAGCAAGAAGAGAACCAAGCATTGGGGCCTATCACATCTACTATTTTCATCAATTATTTTCAATTTTTTGATTAGATGAAGTTTTGTTTCAGTTTCAATTTTTCAATTGGAGAACCAAGCATTATCCCCTGCAAGAATGATGGATTGAGTACCTACAATGTTTATTCATTTGAAAGAATGACATGTTTTTTCATTTGTGATTTGTAATTTTATCTTTTGAAAGAATGATATTGTTAGTTGAGAGAATGTTTTTCGAAAAAATGTCTTTATTTATGATTTATGTATTGAAACTGGTTAGTTGAGAGGATGTTTATTATGGAATTAGCTGCAGTCTGATGTTGCCATGAAATGACCGAAGTATTGCTATGCAGTATGTATATAGCTATGTAATCTTACAGATTTGCTTAATAAAAAATTTGTGGATTTCGTTTGTGGATGTAGTTTATTGACAGAACCACATAATTATTATGTGTATTTGTATTTTTTTGTTTTGATTTGTAAATTGCAACATTGTTTTCCTAAATTGCAAGATTGTTTTTTCTAAATTTATTTTTGTACTCTAATAGCGGGGGAGGAATATGGTGGCCTGATTTCATTTGGTAAGCACGTTTAATAATTTTTCGCTAATTTTTCTCTCCTTGCGTCGCGGAAAGATAGCCTACGGAACCAGTCGAAGAAGAACCGGAGAACGGATAGTAATGTCCACCGTCCTTTCGTTCTGTAACTGTCACTCTCCCCACTCCAACCACCCGTCGCCTCTTCTCCTCCGCTACTCCCTAATCTCCACCCTCTACCTCCGTCCCGTCTCCTCCGGCGATCGACGGAGGCCGCCACACTTTTCTGTATCCGCCGCCGGCAACCGGAAGGTCGAAGAGGATCTGTCCGATCATCGGCTTGCCGGCACCTTAGCTACCGGGCGGCGTCGGGCAGTGGAAGTTGGAGAGAGGGTCGAAAAGGGCTTGGCGAACGAAGATGGAATATACGAGGATTTTAAATGGAAGTGGCCTTTGTGGAAGGAGCTGCCGATGCGTTATAAGATCATCGGGATGACATCGCTTGCTTTCGTTGTTTGCAACATGGATAAGGCATTCTTCTGTTCCTTTTTTTTTAAAGCTAGAATAACGCTACAACGCAAATAAATTTATGTTTAGCATATGTTCATATCACTTGTGAGCGATTTATGCTATAAAAAGTGGAGGAAAATGAAAGGTAGAAGAGGAGTAGTCTTTTTATCAGCGTAACAGGATTCTAGCTAGCAGTTTTGCAGCTCGACGTTTGAGATTAGGAAGCCTAACGAGGGACTTGTCGGGCAAACATGGTGCATATAGGGTTCTTGTTTGTAGTGGCCTTCGTGGCAATAGCTGTCCATGAGCTATAAGCTCATTGGAACAACAGAAAGACGATGTACTTTTGTACTACCAATTGGAGGTCATGCATGGCTATGTGCGCAATTGTGTATAATTTGGTTATAGTTGTGTACAACCTCCCTATCGGTTATCTGTGGGTGCATTATACTCCCCTGGAATAACATCTCTTGCTTTCGTTGTCTGCAATATGGATATCGCGTGCTTATATTATAATCTTTTCTTGTTCTCTTGGCTAGAGTAACGCCACACCACATAACCAGATTCACATTTAAAATAGAGCCGCAGAATTCACAATCAATTTATACTAGAAAAATTGCAGTTATCTCTCTTAGTCTATGAGGGCTTTGAATGTGTAATAGCCTATTTTAAGCGATGTACTATTGTCACATCGCTTAATATAGCGCCACATTACACTTAAAAGCCAGAATAATAGGTTTTGAAAAGTAAAGATGATATTCTAGGCTTTTAAATGCGAGCGACTTTCATGGGAATTGGAAGGAGCTGTTCTTGCTTTATTTGCTTATCAGGATGAAATTACTTCTTCAGTAGTATGCATTAGGCAAAATGCATTCTTCTATTTGTAATTCTTTTCTTCCTATCAAGAGCAATGCCATACTTCACAAATTGATTTATCATTAGAATAGACTCTCACAATCTTTTTGATAGAGTAGTTAAATTCTGGAAGACTGTTTCATTCAAATTCAATCCAACTCAGATCCAAAAGCACTCCTACTGTTTCTCAAAATTACAACCCAACCACTCTCTCATAGTTTGGCAGCCAATAAGATTGGAAATCATTTCACTTTTTAATATATATATATATATATATATTCATTCAGATTTAAGATATATATATATATATATTCAGATTTAAGATGTTTTATGTAGAAGTAAATTCTTTACTTAGATATACATCCTATCATCCAAATGTGTTGATTTATCATATATAGGTTTGTGAAGAAAAACAGCCTTGGGGAGGAAAAATACTAGCTTAGCTTCATTATTCTAACATAAGGTTACATATACAACTTATCTCTTAATAATTTCTGAATCCATATTCCTTCTCAAAATTTTAATGCGAGTGCCTTATACTTTGATTCTGCATTGCTTCTAATAACGACAACTTGCTTCTTGCTTTTTCATGTAACCAAATTTCCCCATACATAAGATCAATAATTTGTTGTGGACTTTCTGTTGATGAGTTCCGTAGCCCAACTCGTGTCAGTGTGGACTTCCATCTCTCTGTTTTTAGTTTTCTAAAAAATTAACCCTTAACGGAGTCTTTTTGAGGAACTTTAAAATCCCGCACACCACCTTCAAATGTTCTTCATTTGAATTATTCATGTGTTGACTTACAATACTGATAGAGTATACAATATCCGATCTAATATGTGACATGTATATGCATTTTTCTACCAATATTTATTATTTTCCGTTATTCACATATATACTTTCTTCTCCCTTTTTAGATTTCTTATTGGGTTTTATTGGAGTATTAGCAGGTTTGCATTCAATCATTATTGTCTTCTTCAGTAGATTTAAGACGTTTTTTCTTTATGATATAACAATGTTTTTTATGGATCTTGCTACCTCTATACCTAGAAAATATGTTATGATTCCCAGGTCATTGATTTCAAATTCAGTGATAAGTGTTTTTTTGATTTTAAAAATTTCTTTTTCATTATCACCAATAAAAATCACATCATTCACATATACTAGCAATGCAACAGTCTTAACTCCCTTAGTGTACTTTATAAATGTTGTATATTCACATCATTCACATATACTAGCAATGCAACAGTCTTAACTCCCTTAGTGTACTTTATGAATGTTGTATGTTCAGTTTGTTCTTGAGAATATTCATTATATTTCATAATTTTAGCAAACCTTTCTAACAATACTTTTGGTGATTGTTTGAGTCCATAGAGAGACTTCTTGAGTTTACATACTAGATGTTTATTGGAACCATTCTCAAGTTCTGGTGGTATATCCATGCATACATCTTCATCAATGTCTTCATTCATAAAGACATTTTTTTATATCAAGTTGGCTCAATCCACACTCTTTGTTAACTACTACTGAAAGTAGATTATCTACTGCTTACAGTAGAATTCTGATAGTTTTCAAATTGACAACGGGTGCAAAGGTCTCTTCATAGTCAATTCTCCATAGACTTGTGTGAAACTTATTGCAACCAGTTTAGCTTCGAATCTCTCAATACCACTATTAGCTTTGTACTTGATGTTGAATATCCATTTGCATCTAAATGACTTCTTATCCTGGGGAAGTTTAGTAAGGATCTTTGTACTATTATGCTTTAGGCCTTGAGTCTCTTCTTCAATTGCTTTCCACCATTCTGAATTTCTAAGAGCTTTATGAATGAATTTAATAATATGCACACTATTATTATTAGATGCAAAAGCTTTATAGGATTAAGATAACTTCTCATAAGCTACCTATTCATGAATTTAATATTTTGTATATCTTTCCTTGTCATCAACACTAGAAGAGGAAGGGGATAAGTTATTAGTAATAGACTTCTCACCTGAAATTTTAGGTGGGTATGAACTCGGGTTTTGATTTGAGCATTTTTGTTTTTATAAGTTGTCTTCTACTTGCTCAAGTTTTTTCTTCCTTTTTGTGTATAAACGAAGTTCTTTGTTATAGATTTTAGGTTGAGTTGGTTGGACATCCTCAACAAGGATATAAATATGAAGGTTAGGTGGAAGAGGAGTTTTTTGTGAGGCAGTATGGGTGTCTCTTAAGTTTATCTCAAAATTGACGTTAATTTGCACTTCCCATTGAACATTAGATTTTGGATAATATGGTTGATTTCAAAAGCGGTGACATCAATGAAGTTACAGTATTTTTTGATATTGGGTGAGTAGTATTTATATCTATTTTTGTTTGAGACATATACAAGAAAAATACACTTGACAGATTTATGGTTAAGTTTTATACTATTTAGGGAATGAGTGTAAGCAAATGACACCAAAAAATTTTAAGTGGTACAATAGAGAAAGCTTTGATGTGGGGGTTATGTATCCATCAAGATATGAAGTGGTGTTTTAAAATTAAGTATATGACCAGACATTCAATCGATAAGGTATGTTGCAATAAAAACTACTCCTCCCAAAAATATTTTGGAACTTGGTGATAAATTATCATTGAGTGGGCTACCTCAAGAAATTGCCTATTCTTTCTCTCAACTATTCTATTTTGTTCTGGTATTAATGCGTACTCACATAAATGATTCCATTTTTTAAAAGATAAGATCCAAGGATAAAGTTGAAATATTCATTTGCATTATCAGTTTTGAGGATTTAAATTTTGTATTGGAATTGAGTTTGAATCATGCCATGAAAGACTTGGAAGATTTGGGCAGTTTCATGTTTCTCCTTCTTTAGGAAAACCCAAGTAGCTCTAGTGTGATTGTCAATAAATCAGACAGATCATCTAGTCTCACTTAGGGTTCTTACTTTTGAATAATGTCATGAAAGTCTTGGAAGATTTGGATAATTGAAAAAAATATGTGAGAGTATGTACTGATTAATGGGATAAATATTGCTAGTGTGTTTGACAAATTGACAAGTCTCACATTGATAGAAATTATGATTTTTTATTGAAAAATAAATGAGGATATATCTTTGCAGCATAATTGAATTTAGCACAACCCAAAAGACAATGCCATAACATGACTTGTTTTTCAACATGGACTTAACATATTCAAAGGCTTGAGGTAAATACGATGGTCAGGCCACTTATATGTTTAGAGAGATTATTTTTGAGCAGGTACAAGCCTGATGCATTTCAGCATTGCCAATCACTTTCTCCGCTTCCGTCATATGAAATTCACAAGAATTTGCAAAGAATTTAGTTATAAATTTTATATCACGAGTAAACTTATTGATTGAAATTAAATTTCAATTAAATTATGGAATAGATAAAAAAAAAGAAATAGTAATATTCTAAGAAACCTTCATATCTCCTTTTCTTGTAATTTTTTAGTGTGATCCATATGGCAAGTCTAACAGTTTTAGATGTAGAAGATTTTTGATAGTTAACTCAAGCATTGACGTCTCCAGTCATATGATCAAAAGTTTCTGAATCACAAGAATTTGCAAAGAATTTAGTTATAAAATTTATATAATGAGTAAACTTATTGATTGAAATTAAATTTCAGTTAAATTATGGAATAGATAAAACAGAAGGAATAACAATATTCTAAGAAAGCTCCATATCTCATTTTTTGTAATTATTTAGTGTGACCCATCTGCAAGTCTAACAGTTTTAGATGTAGAATATTTTTGATAGTTAACTCGAGCATTGATGTCTCCAGTCATATGATAAAAAAATTATGAATTTATGATCCAAGGTATAAATCTCCCATTACTGGCGAGATGTGAGAAAGATTTATTATCTTTGTTTGTCATGTGGCTGGTTTGCTGTTCTGAATTACTTATAAGGAGTTTTTTTAGTACTTCAAGTTGTGCCTTGGTGAATTCTTCAGTCGACCCTTCGGATGTGATAGCAACATTAGCCTTGCTCTCTTGATCATTCTTTCCATTTCTAGGTTTCCAATATGCAGTATTCTTCGTGCTAGAATAAGATTCTCTCACATCCTCACAAATTTTTTTGGTAGTTTTGTAGAGCAAAAATTTTTCTCCTACTCAGTCGTCATTGAGTTGGACATAACCATATGGCCATGAATCTTTCAT